TAAATTTGAACTCTGTAAATAATTTAATACGTCCGTATAAATTGAAAGGAAAAAAAAAATTTTTTTTTTTCAAATTATTACGTAATAATAACGCCTACGTCATCATCGTCGTCATCGTCATCGTCATCATAGTAAACAAATAAAACGCGCGCGTAATATTTAAACACAAATAAATACACAGACATTTTTTCTTACTTAACGAAAACTATCACGAGAATAATAATAATAATAATAATAAACGTTAGAAAATTTATGTATTATTAAAAAATATTATTATTACTATTAATAATTTAAATAAAGTAAATGCGTGAAAAATGCTCGAGATCACATAAATTATTAATAAAATAAATAATGTTAGTTATTAATGAAAAAAAAAAAAATAGAATTTTATTAAATGTAGTTATTAATAAATAATTTTTTTTTAATAAAATAATAAATAGATAATTTATTAGTTTTAATAAATAAATTAATAATAAATAAATAAAATAAATAACTAAATAGTTATAATAAATTAATTAAATAAAAGTAGTAGTTATTTATAAAGTTTAATTGAAAAAGTAGTTGTAGTTATTATTATTATTAATAATATTATTTACCATAATAATTAATTTATTATTGTCAATATTATTGTTATTGTTATTGTTGTGCCGTTGTTGTTGTTGTTGTTGTGGTTGTTGTTGTTTTTTTTTTTTTTAAATCATATATTTAATGATACATTTTTTTTTTTTTTTATTGAATGCATTTTAATAAAAATTTTATTTTTCTTTTTAAAAAAAAAAAAATTTTAAACGGAAACGAAAACAAAAAGAAAAGTAAAATTTGAAACTAAAAAATAAATAAATAAATAATAATGATAATAATAATATTAATAATTATGAAAAAATTTATTTATTTATTTTTAACCGACAAAAAAAAATTTAAATATCTTTTAATAATATTGATGTTTTTTTTTTCTTCCTTTTTTTTTTTAGATTTTATGTGGTCCTTGGGAGCTTTGCCTGACGGTGAGTCTTCAACATTCATAAATGGTAGGACTATTATAATAATAATAATACTAATACTAATACTAATAATGATAATGATAATGATAATAATTTTTAAGAAGTTTTTTTTTTTTAATAATACCTTTCGAGTGTTTGTCGTTGTTAACGTCGCGCATGTTTTTTTTTATTTTTATTTTTTTTAAATACTCATTTATCCTTCATCGTTTTTATCATTATTGTTTTGTTCTCGTTTGTCTGTTTGTTTGTTCGTTTGTTTTTGCATCTTATATATAAAAAAAACATAATTTCCGTTTGTATTTTTTTTTTTTTTCTATTGACTAAAACAATAATTTTTTATTTTTATTTTAAATATAAATTGACGTCGGAAATTTATAAAAATGAAAAAAGTAATAATAATAATAATAATGATGATGATGATGATGATAATAATAATGATAGTAATAATATTATGTAGTAAATTATTATTTACCCGTGATTTAACGTTCGTTCCGTATTTCGGATAAGAAAATTTTTCAGGTAAATTTAACACTCTAACATCTGCGTACCGTCAAAATAATAATAATAAGAAAATTTTTCATTTTATTTTATTTTTTTTATTTCACTTTACTATCTCTCTCTCTCTTTCTCTTCCTTTTTTTCCATTTTTTAGTTTCGTAATTTAAAAAAAAAAAAAAAAAGGAAAAAAATTTATTTTCTGTTAAAATTATGCAAAACGGTTAAAGTTTTCTCATTTAACGTTTACATGTTAAATTTATTCGTTTTTTATTATTATCATCATCATCATCCAAATCGTCGTCGTCATCATTATTATTATTATTATTATTATTACTATTACTAAAACTATAACTATAAATTTTTTTTTTTTTTAGTTTGCAAAAATCCGTACGGAAAAAAAAGAAAAAAAAATTTTCTTTTTTTTTTTTTTATTCTTGTTTAATTTATTTGTTTGGCTTTCGTTTTCCTTTATTTTTTTTTTATATTTTTCACCTTAGTTGTCTTCTGCTACGTAAAAAAAAATAAAAAATATTTAATTAAATGGTTTTTATTATCATTATCATTATCATTATTATTATTATTGTAGTATCAAACTGTGAAAGTTAACACAAAATTTCGATTTCATTAACTTTTTAACTTCCCTGCTAGTTTTCTTTCCATCTGTATTTATTATTATTATCATTATTATCATCATCATTATTATTATGTTTTTTTTTTAGGTCAGGTAAAAAGAAAGAAAGAAAGAAAAAAAATGGCGCCCGTTTAAAATAAATCAAAATAAATCGTAATTTTATTTGATGGTTTTTAAAATGGGGGGAAAAAAAAGAAAAAAAAATTTTTTTTTTTAAACGTTTTAACGTTTTTCGGTTAAGTGAAATTTATTTCTCGCGATGATAATAATAATAATAATAATAAAACAAAACTTTTTTTACTATGAAAAAAGCTAAAACTAAAAACTAATAATAGATTAGGTTTTATAAATTATGACGTCGACGTTTTTATTTTTGCATAAAATCCCCCGCCCCGCCCCTGTTGAAAAGGTAAAATAAAAAATAAAAACTTTTATGTTAAAAATTTTAATTTAATTCTTCTTATTTTATTATTATTATCATTATTATTATTGTCATCGTTATCGTTATCAAGTTAAAAAGGAAGAAAAAATTTATTTTTCCTTTTTTTTGTTTTTTTTTTTTTTTGGGTGTTTTTGCCAAAATAGATTCAAAGGAAAGAAAAAAAAAATTTTTTTCGTGTTTTTGACAAATTTTTTTTTTTTTATTCATCGGGGAGAAGATGTGAGTGAGGGGGAAGGGGTAGGGGATGTGGTGAAGGTTAGGGAAGGAAAGGGAAGGTCTTGGAAAAATTTACGTATCAATTTAACATTTAAAGGTTTTCCCATGGA